GTGAATCTATCAACTGCCGTGTGTGGTAAAATCCTAGGAGAACCCACTGCTGTTTTTGGCGCCAAATATTTTTCGCCAAAAAGCGCCAAATTGAAGGTTTTCAAAAAGGCGTCAATGACGAAAAACTCTTGGGAAGCGCATGCGTCAGCGGGGGATGAAATGGGCGTTTCGCAAAAATGAAAACGAATAAATACATTAAATTAATCATTATAAAAAGAAAAAAACGGAGAAAGCAATGAAATTCATTTTAAAAAAGCATTCTAAAACCAGTGTGTACAACATGATTTACATTTTTAAAAAAGGACGAAAGGGGCGTTTCGCAAATATAAAATTGAAGAAATACATGAAATCAATCATTTAAAAAAAATTTAAAAGGCACTTACCTTACGCTTGCATTTCGTCATGTTCCGTTGGTGGATACACCCTTGCGATGGATGCAAGGAATTCATGAAAATTGTCATCCACCAACTTGTGACCTGTTCTTATTAACTTTCAAGTCATTCACCACGAACGCATTCATGCTCTTGCCAAACCAATATCTGGTCAAACGCAAGATAATTATTATAGCAAGTTTGCTTTCGCTAAACCAAGTGCCCTTTCTCACACTCCGAACAACGTCGTGGCGATTATCTTTCGACTGGTTGCGGCAACGCCATTCGTAGCCGTCAACCGTTCCCTTTCGTTCTTACAAACGCATATTTTTTTAAACCTCGGACATTCATAACGAGAAGCAATTAAATTAGCTTTCATACACCATTCTAATGTCTCTTTCTTCCCCTTTGTGCCCAGGAGCACAAAGAAACCTGTCGTAGCCTCACTTTCAATTAATTTCCTTTCACACGCCATTCTTAACAACAACCGGTGGAGAGCAGACTTTCTCAAACGAAGTCAAATGTCAAAATGACGTTTTTTCGGAAAAGGCGAAAAACGTTGTACTTTTAGGGTTGCCATTTTTTAGGTGATTTGAAAATCCAAATTTTTGGATGAAATGGAAGGGTTACCATATTGTAACCTTTATCGCTCAAAATTTGGCGACAAAAAATTTGGCGACCAAAAGTGGGTCCTCCTAGGATTCAACCGAAAATTTCTATTTCACAATAATCCTCAGCTATTTTATCTAGATTTATCTGTAATTGCTCAATTGTTTTGAGTTTAATTTCGATTTCAGTGACACTAGTATCCTTTGACACTGTCTTCTCCGAAGTAAAAGCCTCTAACCTAGTTCAAGTTCCTTTGATTGAATCTTTTAAACGATTCAATTTCTCTTCAGTAGTTACGTTGGAGTTATTTTTATTTTTCGATTTTTTATCCATTTTCTGTGGCTTCGTAGGACCAATGTTTCGTCAATATTTGTGTGGACTGTAAAACTGGTTAAAGAATAAAAAATCAGTTTTTTTCGCAACGCTAAGCCTACTTTATTCGTGCACCCGCTTTTGTTGGGGTACAGCTAGACAATGTCTACTTTTACAAATTTTTTACAGATGGCGCTACAGTGTGCTGATGACGTAACACCACCTACAATAGTTAATGCGGCTTGTCTCTTAGAGAACGACATTCTATATGCCATATTCATCCTACTCGTACGAAACGTGAGTCAACGAGACAGTGCATAGTTAGTTGTTCAAAAACGGACGCAAATGGGAAAAAAGATAAATAAGGAAACACGATTCTGGTGTTTATAATTGCAGAGTCGGTTTGTGTTTGGAAAAGTGTTTCTGGCTATGCCACACAAAACAGAATTACTGAGCTACTAATACGTATTCATTTTTATTTATTTTAATTTGACATTTTTTAAGAAAATAATACTTCTCTAGAAACAAACTCACTGATGTAATTCAACATGTCAATTTTGAACTACAAAGTATATTTTATTTTGTTCTAACCATTTAAGTTTTGCAATAAAAATTTTGACAATTTATGTACCCAAATCATCAAAATAACTTGATATTTAAAGGGTTAAAAAGATGTTTCAGTACAGTTTGTACTGAAACATCTTTTTGGAAGCAATCTCTTGTTTTTTGAAGCAATATAAAACCTAGTTATTTTAAAGAAATTATCTGATTTCGAATAAATATCAAAAATAAACAAGCAAAACTGTTCAAAATAACCACTTTTACTCTGAAATGTGAATTAAACATGATATACCTGAATTTGTGTTCCATTAAAATTCGAAAAATATTCTGCATTTACACCAGCCACTTCCAAAGGATCGATAATGTTTCAAGAAAGGTATTGAAATATTTAGTGGCGAGTCCAAAGTTTTAAAAACCTTATGTCGACAGATATAGCATCTCAAATAGCATAAGATATACATTAAGCTTTTAGCACCTAAGTGTAGATACTCAAAACGCACTTCCATATGTCAAATTTCACCTTCAGCGCAGCAAAATATTTCATATGAATGAAGCCTTATCTGCAGATTCTAAAATATTCCTGTATTTTAACTACATACAGAAAGAAAATGTAGGAATATTTTTCGAAAGGTGATTTGCTAAATAACTGGGTAAGACTTTTTCTGTGTGTGCACCCAATGCAAAATCCAAAACATATGATATGTATTGCATTTTTAAGCATTAAACAATACAGCTATTAGAATTTTAAAAGCGCGAAGCATGAAGAAAAAAATATTTGAAGCTGTACAAATAATGCATTACACAGAACGTTATTCATGCTTTTGAAAAAAAAGTTTAAAACATTGTTATTGTATTCGTTTGAGAATATTTACTTACTTTCTCTAGTTTTTTTTTTAACAAATAAAAATGGATTTTTTTTTGTAAAAATAAATGTTTATACAAGTCCAATTTCAGTTTTATGTATGTTCGTAACAAAGTAATTTTAAAAATATTCAGATCCAATCTATATGGTTGCCAAAGTATTTTTCTTTTACATTTGGATAAAAAAAGAACTTTGAAGACATATACTCTGTTAAAAAACCAGTCACTCTGATTTGTCAACAGCATGCGCTTGAACCTTTTTACTATTCTTTTTATTCCTTCGCATAAAAAGTATTTCGATGTATTTCTTTCTGTTTACTGCATTTTTTTCACTTTGCTACTTTTTTCTTGTGCATTTTCTTTCTTTTTTAACCTTAAACATTTCATGTACTCTGAGATCAATAGAAAAGAAGCGAAGATGATTTTTAGCTTACCAGAGCTGTAGAAGTAATATGAATTAAGCCACAAATTATTCATCCTATGTTTTGAATAATGGTTTTTAAATCTGAAATCTCGAAGATGCACTAGTCAGAAAAAGTTTAACTCATAGGAAAAAAACGCGAGAGAACAAGTAGTTTAATATTTAGCAGAAAACAATAGACATAAAACATTCAAAATTCATGGATCTTCAAGAAGAATTTTTTAATCGCCAGAGAGAGAGTAAAAGAACCATGATGAAACAGAAGAAAATTTCTGAGAAAAAAAAATGTGCCATCTATATTTCGAGTCTTCAAAGATACGTAGATATGAAAAATTTTCTGCTGAGGTTAATGCATAAACAACAGAAAGAGAGAGAGAGAGAGAGAGAGATGACCTCTCTCTTTTTATATTCTTCATATCTATTTTGTAGAATATTATACTTGAAAGCTTTGTTTATTGAGAAAGATTGATGTATAAAATTATGCTTTTTTCCCAGCATATAATTGAAAACGTAAGGGAGAAGTATATTGCGGTACACTGAAAATTTGATTAAAATTTTATGTCAGATTGTTTAATTATTTAGGTTATATAGAATTTAATATAAATACTGTAAGGGAATTATAGAAATACTATCAAAATAATAAACCCGTTTCTCAATAGGACACAAAAGGCTATTTAAAAAAAATAAACTGTAAACACATATAGTTTGTTTTCCTAAAAAACTTGACTTTTAAAAACTATTTTACTGTTTCGACATTATAGAGTTCGTACGCGTAATTTTTTCTCAAAATTAAGAAAGTAATTTTCATTTATCTAAAAAAAAAAAGTGAAAGTCAGGTGAGAATTTCATTATGGCTAAAACTTTGGATAATCATGACAAATTATAAAAAGACATGATGATCTACATGATGAGCTGAATAATCGTGTATTTGCACAGAAATAAAAACCGGATTAATATAATGTTTGAAACTATAAAAATTTTAAAATTACTAAAGCATCTAAGATAATGGTTAAGATATCTTGAAATCAACATCTAAGAGAAAATTCCGAATTCAAAAAAGGGAACAACAAGTGTAAATAGTTTTGATATATTAAATATTCTCTCTATTTCGGAATTACTGTGTACTTTATAATTGAATCACTGTTCGATTTGGACTCATTCCCTACAAAAATTAACGTTTTCCTTTGAATCATCCGAATAAAAATCGAGCTTGTCACAAAAAAGTCCCTTATCTTGCAACTTTGCTCTTCAAGAAAGAGCTACTTTCGTATTTTTCTTTACCACCACTAACAGGATACTAAAAAGTTCCGTTAATTTTTGGACTCCTATTCATGAGTATCATTAAATGTTAATTTTGCAAAATGTGTTACTTAAGGATAATCTTCATGTTTACGTCTAAATAAAATAAATACATTACGTGATATTGAAGATGCAATATATAGGAGTGTCCAAACTGTGAAGTAACTCAGCAAGATTAGAAATAGAAAGAAAGAACAAGTGTTGCTTGTTTTGAAATGATATTACCAACCAACAGTGCTCGAGAATAACTTTGGTGAATCACCGTTGACAGCATACTCAGTCAGGTGCAAAGTCAATGAGAATACGGATGACGTCCTGATGGACAGCTTTCCATTCCCTGTCAACTGTGTACCACTGATATTTTTGAGAACAAGTGGGTGTCAGAGCATGCATTAGGCGTCCAATCACGTTTCAGAAATGTTCGATTGTGGAATAATGGTGGCCAGAGAAAAATCAGAATATCTTACAGAGCACATTCGCTGATGCTTGCAATGTGCGACAATACATGCACCAAATGCTGCTGGTAAAGGGCAGTGAATAACTCCCTCTCAGATGGAAGGGGATTGTCCTCAGACGGTCTAAACCCAGCTCACGTTCCCTGTTAGTGGGTGAACAATCCAACGCTTTGCGAATTCTGCTTCGCAATGATAGGAAGAGCCGACATCGAAGAATCAATAAGCGACGTCGATATGAACTCTCAGCCGCCACGAGCCAGTTATCCCTCCGGTAACTTTTCCGACACCTCTCCCGTGAGACTCTCACATTCTACCCCGAAGGATATAGAAAGAAAGGATCGATGGGCCCCTGTTTCCAGGTCCCCTTCCCTGCTGAAGAACGGGATCGAGCCGGCTTTTGCCCCTTTGCTCCACGCCGGGTTTCCGTCCCGACTGAGCCGGCCTTGGGACACCTGCGTTGCCATTTGACAGATGTTCCGCCCCAGACAAACTGCCTGCCTGACGCTGTCTTCGGAGTTCCTCGTCCAACACTCGAACGGCGAGGACTTGAAGCACATACGTTCGTCCCTCGAGAAAAGAGACGATTAGGGACATCACCGAATAAGTCCCAAGGCGATCAAAGTAGTGGTATTTCACAATTGCGTCCATAACAGGACTCCCACCTAGACTACGCCAATAATGCCTTAGAACAAAGTCAGACTAGAGTCAAGCTCGAAAGGGTCTTCTTTCCCCAGTGAATTTGCCAAGTCCGTTCCCTTGGCTGCGGTTTCGCTAGATAGTAGATAGGGACAGTGGGAATCTCGTTAATCCATTCATGCGCGTCACTAATTAGATGACGAGGCGTTTGGCTACCTTAAGAGAGTCATAGTTACTCCCGCCGTTTACCCGCGCTTCGTTGAATTTCTTCACTTTGACATTCAGAGCACTGGGCAGAAATCACATTGAGTCAACACCGATCGCCGGCCGTCTCAATGCTTTGTTTTAATTAGACAGTCGGATTCCCCGAGTCCGTGCCAGTTCTTGTCCGTCTCTTTCCTGTCCTCCGGCACTGCCCCAGTCCTTACGGAGGACCGGGGCACCTCGCACCCTACACCCCACCTCGAGTACGGGGTCCGATCCCCAAACTGGGACCAGTCCCCGCCACGATAGGAGCTTCGGAAAGTGCGAGTCCAGAAAGACCGAGACACAAGAGCCAATCCTTTTCCCGAGGTTAGGGATCGAACTTGCCGACTTCCCTTACCTACATTGTTCTAGAGACTAGAGGCTGTTCACCTTGGAGACCTGCTGCGGATATGGGTACGGCCGGGCACGAAAATCACAAGCTCTCCCTCGGTTTTCAAGGGCCGGCGGAGGCGCACCGGACACGGCGGCAGCGACCGTGCTTTTTCGACAGGCGGCGTCCCTGTCTCCTCGCGACGAGATTCGAGGGACGCGCGCGTCTTACAAAGAAAAGGCAACTCTTCTCCGGGTCCTCCGACGGCGTCGCCGAGTTCGTTTGCGTCACCGCACCATCGACCCTCGGGCCGAAAGTCTCCGTGTCCCGGTAAGGGAATATTAACACTTTTCCCTTTCGGCCTAAAGTTCTCGTCCCTCGTTTTCAATGAGAACCGTCTGCGATGCGTTAGCATCTGGCCTCAGGACCGACTCACTCGTGTTCAACTGCTGTTCACATGAAACCTTTCTCCGTGCTTCAGTCTTCCAGGCTCTCACTGGAATATTTGCTACTACCACCAAGATCTGCACCGGCGGAGGCTCCAGTCCGACTCGCGTCGCGACCTTCTGCGCTCTCCGCCGCGACCCTCCTACTCTTTAAGCCTTACAACTTATCTGATTCGGCTTAAAGGCCGGGTATGGGCTGCGACGCTGGAGCGCCATCCATTTTCAGGACTGGTTGCTTAGGCAGGTGAGTTGTTACACACTCCTTGGCGGATGCCGACTTCCGTGGCCACCGTCCTGCTGTCTAAACACATCATCCAAATAACGTTGGGCTGGCAAAATGCCCTAAATGTGAAACAAAGGAGAATTGCTATCGTACGCGATGCCTTCCTAAATCAAGATGCCGCATTCTTTCACAGATATGTCAGAATCAGACATGTCATCATATCGGTTCTACACTCGTACACCGTGACTGTAACTGGGTAAATGAAACGTGATTCGTCTGAGAACACGTGTATGGGGAATTACGTTGTCCCCGTCACTCTAAGCCAGCACCTTTGAGACTGGAGTAACCTAAGCTGTGGGATCAATGATGTATTTATTATTAGCGGATGTCATGAGTGACTTGCAAAGTCGCTGGTCATCAATATATTAAGAGCATTTATGATACTCTTGGAAGAACCATTGCACTTCGCCCCCTCCATGACTCTTCAGGAGTTGAAATCCTCATTTTTGGTAAAGTGGGAGTTGCTGCAGAATCGCTGATCAACATCTCATGAGCAAAAATCAGTTGGCGTGACGCAGATGTTTGAAAAGCTGCACGAGGAAGTCATATCACTTATTAATTCGACTAACTCAGCGTTGTTATGTCTTATTTTTTAACCAAAGTTGGTCGCATTTACATGTCGGCCAGCATTTAATCCCCAAGTTTTTTTTTTTTTGTTTTCGTTACTTCTGTCTGTTTCCCAGTCTGATATACACTGAAGAGCCAAAAAAAAAAACTGGTACAGGCATGCGTATGCAAATAAAGAGATATATGGAACCAATCAGAGTACGGCTCTGCGGTCGGCAAAGCCTATGTAAGACAATGAGTATCTGGTACAGTTGTTAGATAGGTTACTGCTGCTACAATAGCAAGTTATCAAGATTTAAGCGAGTTTGAACGTGGTGTTATAGTCGGTGCACGAGGGAGGGGACATAGCATCTCCGAAATAGCGATGAAATTTGAATTTTCATGTATGACAATTTCAAGAGTGTACCATGAATATCGGGAATCCGGTAAAACATCAAATCTATGACATCGCTGTGGCCGGAAAAATATCATTCAAGAACGGGACAAACGACGACTGACGAGAATCATTAAGCGTTACAAACGAGCAACCCTTCCGCAAATTGCTACATATTAAAATACTGGGCCATCAAAAGGTGTCACTGTGCGGACCATTCAACGGAACATCATCGATATGGGTTTTCACAGCCAAAGAGACCCACTCTTGTACTTTTGTTGACTGCACGATACAAAGCTTTACTCCTGGTATGGGCCCGTCAACGCCGACATTGGACTGTTGATGACTAGAAATACATTGCCTGGTCTGACGAGTCTCGTTTCCAATTGAATCGAGCTGATGGACGTGAACGTGTATGGAGACAACCTTATGAATCCATGGAATCGTTATGTCAACAGGGACTGTTCAAGCTGGTGGAGGTTCCATGATAGTATAGGGAGTGTGCAGTTGACGTGATATGGGACCCCTGATACGTCTAGATTCGACTCTGAAAGGTACGTAAGCATCTTGTCTGATCACCTGCACCCATTCATATCCATTATGCATTTCGACGAACTTGGGGAATTTCAGCAGGACAATGCGACACCCCACACGTGCAGAATTGCTACAGAGTGACTCCAGAAGCACTCTTCTGAATTTAGACACTTCCGCTATCCACCGAAATCCCCAGATATGAGCATGATTGAATATATCTGGGATGCCTAGCAACGTGATGTTCAGAAGAGATCTCCACTCCGTCTTACTCATACTGATTTATAGACAGTCCTGCAGGATTCATGGTGTCAATTACCTCCAACACAGTGTATATGTGAACCAAATTCGTTTATATTTAAATAATATTTTCAAGAAATCATATTTTTATGCCTGTAGCTTTAATTTTGAATACCGGTATTTGTATTATGCGTATTTGCCCTTTTTTTCTTTTACGTTTCATTTCGTGGTTTCTTTTTCTTCTTATTTTTAGGATCTCACTATAAAAGGCTACACAGTACCCTAAAAATTTCAATGTTACCGATTCTTTTTTTGCTTGTGGCCCATATCATTGGGAAGCTTGCCACCAAATTTCAGATGTGTTGACAGAGCAGTTTTTAAGATATTTCAAATTTTCTGAGCTATGTTTTAGCTTCGGTTTCATTCTAAAGAATTTTTCCACTCTTAAACTGAATTAATCGAAAATATTTTTGAGCGCAATCAACTCTCTTAGTGTGAAATGCTTAATTACTGCAATTTTCATTACTAAAAATATTTCTCCTTGATTAATTTTTGCGGTTTTTGAGTCATAATTAATTAATTAAGATTGATTTCAAGGCCAATTTTTGCTTTACAAATTAGTTTACATAACTTAGAAGCCTTATCACTAATTTTTTCCGGTTGAGAAGAATCCACGACCAAAACGTTTTCAGGTTGATGTGAGAAATAATATTTCGAAGAGAAGGAATACTAAAATGATGTATCTAAATTCAGTCCTCAGTTAATACTTCAATTTGACTTCCAAATACAAGTATTCTGAATTCAAGTATTGCGCATAAAATTGAATATTTCCTTAATGAACCAAATTACATTATTCTAAATGTATTGTAGTACTATATTTTAGTATTTTAAAGCCGTACAAGAAGAGCTAAAACTTCCTAAAGTGTCCCGAATTAAAACTGAAAAAAAATTAAATTTTATGAAAAAACTTAATTTTTAGCTTAAGGTAGTATCATTATTACTTTGTACATAAATGCTTTGTGTTTGAAAACTTTTATGAAAATATTAGTTAAGATTAAGCTGAATAAAAAAAAAAAACTGTGCGTCATCTCGTAACAAATGCTATCAATATTATACAAAAATATATTTTGAGTTAAAAAAAAATATTTTCAGTCATATTTAATTAAAATAGTTACTTAATGTAAAGCATATATTGGAAAAAACATATTAAAAATTAGAGCTTTATGGGCATTATAAGTTTTTGTTTATGCCTTTACAAATTTTAAATGCTTTTTTCTCAGACTTTCAATTTTGAAAGTATATGTATTTTCTAATCCCTATGGCTTTTTTTCTGTTCAAAATAATGCTTTGAAAGTTTTGTATATATTCTCAAACGTATGTTCTAAAAAGTTAGTATGGGCTTAGGTCTAAGATCTCTAGTTATATATATTTTACCATGTTACTATTAACTCGCTTTCTTGTTTTTCCGGGCGGAATTTTGTAATTGATTTTAAACTAACTTCCCGATGAGCTAGAGACTTGAAATTTGAATCATAGCTCATAAATGAATGACAATGCATGAAAGTGTGAATAAAAAATTCCCCGGGCTCCCTAAGAGCCGGACCCCTATTTCGACAGGGGACCCGTAACTCCAGAACTTACACGGACAAAAACCACCTGTTGATAGCATGGTTCGAGTTGCGTCTACGTATTAAATTTCGGGGCTCTGAGTTCAAAGAGGGGCCCCATGTTACCATGTTTTTTTATTAAATCATTTTTTGTCTGTCTGTATGGGTGGAATTTTGTATAATCGATTTTGAACTAACTTCCCGATGAGCTAGAGACTTTAAATTCAAACCATAGCTCAGAAGTGGGTGACAATGAATGGAAAAGTGAAAAATAGAAGAAAAAAAACGAAAAAAAAGGAGGAGAGAGAAAGATGAAGAAAACGAAACAGACGAAAACAAAATTATGCTGTTTAGTCCGTTATAAAAACATAGTACATTAAAATTATTTTGGATAATATACTTGCTTTTTTAAAAAAAAATGCTTTAGTTAAAGTTTTTTTTTTAAAAAAATGTGTTTTTTCCAAGAAAAATAATTATTAAAATTCAACAAGTGAATAGAATTTCAAATTCATGCTAACTTTTGTTAACAATAATCCAAGAAACATAAATCACAAAATGACTAAAAAATTTTAGAAATTGAGCATTTTGTAAAGATTTGAAAAAACTTCGAATATTCCTAATTTTTTTTTAAATTGTAAAATAATGGTTGGTCAAACCAACTTTTTACTTTCAGAATCAAATTAATAATATAATCTAAGTTTGAAATATAAATTATCTTTACTGTTACTGCCTCCAAAAATTTTTTCTGGGTAGCCTTAAAGACGTTAGTTTTTAAAACCGTACGTCATGCTGAATGCGATTCTTTAGAATGGAGTGGAAATGGACGGAAAATGGTATTAATGCCTTTGCATTATAAACATTAATTAAATATTAGTTTTCTTCTTTCTGGCCAAAACTTTAAATAATTTTAAGTGCAAATCATTATGGCCTTTCATTTCCCCATATTTTGTTAGATTGTTTATTTACTAAAAGAAAATGGTGTTTTAATTAGAATTAAATTAATTTCATAATGGATTTCTTTGCCTTTTTAAATATGTATTTATCTCTCATTTAAGTTTCTTATCTACCTTCCTAGGCTCACAGAATTTTATTATACAGACTTCTTTTTAACCTTTGAAGGTGTTATTCTGCATGTATCATTTTTTTATATTGAAATTCAAAGGATGAGGTTATATTTTAAATTGTGGCTTAATGATTATTACGGACAAGAATAATTTTTCTATCGCTTCGTTGTTTTTCCGATTTGAATGGACGTGTTCTTCCTTTTACGTATTTAGGTTCTGACACACTAACAGAATTAAGTGATTCTTTCTTCGTATTGTTATATAATGGATAAAATATACTTTCCAATATCGTTAAACATTTTGTATTGTATTGACACAATTTTCTTACCTATCATATCTCTACTGTGCTGAGGTGAAATACAGAGTTTGAGAACAAACGTTTACAATGTATTTTTATCTCATGCTATTCATAAGCACAAATTACGTAATTATTGAGCTTATTTTAAGTTAATTATTTTGAAAGTTGTTTATCTCAGGCTCATTAAGAACTCACAGGACTCTTAAATGGCAAAATTTTCAAATTTTGAAAAACATATATGTTAAAGCCTCAATATTTCGGAGCATTTGGGTACAAAAATTGTATTGATACTGTGAAAACTTTCAAAGTTATTGAGAAATAAGTAGTGAAACTTAAACGAAAACCCTAT